TCAACGTCACTGATCATCAGAGAAATGAAAATCAAAACTACAAAGAGATGTCATCTCACCCCAGTTAAAATGGCTTATATCCAAAAGCCAGGCACTAACAAATGCTGATGAGGATGTGGAGAAGGGGGAACCCTCGTGCACTGTTGGTGGGAATGTAAATTAGTACAACCACTATAGAGAACAGTTTGGAGGTTCCTCAAAAAACTGAAAACAGAGCTACCATATGATTCAGCATTCCCACTGCTGGGTATGTACCCCAGAGAAAGGAAATCAGTGTATTGAAGAGACATCTGTACTCCCACGTTTGTTGCAGCACTGTTGGCAATAGCCAAGATTTGGAAGCAACCTGAGTGTCCATCAACAGATGAATGGATAAAGAAAATATCATGCTTACACACAATGGAATACTATTCAGTCATGAAAAAGGAATGAGATCTTGTCATTTGCAACAACATGGATGGAACTGGAGGTCATTGTGCTAAGTGAAATAAGCCCAGCATAGAAAGACAAACATTGCTTGTCCTCATTTATTTGTGGGATCTAAACATCACAACAATTGAACTCATGGAGAAGAGAGTAGAAGAATGGTTACCAGAGGCTGGGAAGGGTGGTGAGAGGATGCCAGGGAGATGGAGATGGTTAATGGGTACAAAAAAAAAAAAAAAAGAAAGAATAAGCTCTAGTATTTGATAGCATAACAGGGTGACTATAGCCAATAGTAATTTAATTGTACATTTTCAGACAACTAAAAGAGTATAATTGGATTGATGGTAACACAAAGGATAAATGCTTGAGAGGATTGATACCCCATTTTACATAATATGATTATTGTGCATTACATGCCCATATCAAAACACCTCATGTACCCCGTAAATATACACACCTACTATGTACCCACAAAAGTTAAAATATAGAAATTATTACTAAAAGCCCAAAAAAACCCAGGTAAACTTCTTTTACATTCCAGGTTTCTATGATCCTGTTGAAATCTCCAGTTTCAAATACATTAATTATCATAGTTTCATATCAAGAGGAAAACTGGAGTTTTTTGTTTTTTTGTTTTATTGTTTTTTTTTTTCAGACGGAGTCTCACTCTGTCGCCCAGGCTGGAGTGTAATGGTGTGATTTCAGCTCACTGCAACCCCCACCTCCCAGGTTCAAGTGATTCTCCTGCCCCAGCCTCCTGAGTAGCTGGGATTACAGGCGCAGGCCACCAGGCCTGGCTCATTTTTGTATTTTTAGTAGAGACAGGGTTTCACCACATTGGAAAACTGGAGTTTTACATCTAGTGTAGGAAGCTATCTGGTAATGAGTTATGCTTCTGTAATGGTATTTTAGACTTGATTCAAAAGCATAACAGATTAATAATTATCCTTACTGGATAATGTGTAGTATATGTGTGTGTGGTTATATATATATATATGTATATAGATGCACTAACACACACACACACATATATATACACACATACACATACTTGTATACACACACACACAAGTTACTATTCTTATTTCAATATTTCAGACAGGAAAACTGATTAAATAACTCATCCAAATTCACTTTGCTAGTAGTAAAGGGTAGAGCTGGGACTCACATTGTAGTCTGTGCGATCCCAATGTCTACACAAATATCCACTTCCCTATAATATCAGTGCTCACGGCCAGCCCCTTCAGAGTGCCCTCTCCTTTTAGTCATCAGCTGTATACCCAGGAGCCACAACTGAGTCTGTGCTGAAATGGGAAGGAGTTCAGAGTCTGGGTGCTCTGAAATCTATAAAAGGTTCAGGGAACTTTGAGGTGGGAGGTTATGAATTAGCCTCCCAGACCAAAGGGAGTGCTGCTCATTTGTTAATTTGATTTTGTTTAGGTTACTGAGCCATGATTCATCCTTAATTGCATTGTTTCAAATGACTAAATGGTCTAAGTATTAACCGACTGCTGAGTGGTTGCCCAGCTTTGGTTTAACTGGGACATCTTCAGCTTAGAAGTCATTAAAATCAAAACACTGTTGGGCTTCCAGTGGGGTATTGGGTCATCTGCTCACTGAAAGATGGTCCTGGTGCCTGGTGGAACTCCAAAAAATGAAGAATGTACCCCTTCTGTCCCTGTTGCCTGTGTGGGAATTGGACCTCCCACTTCATGTGGGGTTGAAAGTTCCCATGGATGGAATGCCAGAGGACAGACTAATCTGATTCAATAGACAGGCCTTCCTCCTGACTGTGGACCTTAGCAAGGCACTCCACCAGAAAGGTTTTGAAATTTTTTTTTTTTTAAGATGGAGTTTCGCTCTTGTTGCCCAGGCTGGATTGCAGTGGTGTGATCTCAGCTCACTGCAGCCTCTGCCTCCCGGGTTCAAGTGATTCTCCTGCCTCAGCCTTCCAAGTAGCTGGGATTACAGGCATGTGCCACCACACCTGGCTAATTTTTGTATTTGTATTTTTATTTTTTTTTAGTAGAGACAGGGTTTCATCATGTTGGCCAGGCTGGTCTTGAATTCCTGACCTCAGGTGATCCACCCGCCATGCCCAGTGTGAAGTCTGATAATGCATAGGAAGATTTCCAGATTAAAATTATTATTCTCAGAACATGTTCTACTGAGCCTCAGATTCCTTTTCTATCAAATGGGAGCAATGTCAGCTCTACCCTTTACTCCACTGAGTAAGCAGAGAAAATGACATGATCTGTTATAATAAGCTTTAGAAACATTTTTCAAACAGTTTATCAAAATGTAAAATATTGTTGGTTGAAAATAAATCTTTTTCAGCACATTTGTGGGTGTCATGAGTCTTTGACTATGGAATGTATTTATGTTTAATTCCATACCATATTCCCAGCCCTATATTTTAAACTAGTAATTCTGAAGAATCCCGGCAGCTTGTGAAAGACTGTCAGGAGCTGAGAAAGGATGTGAACTTGGGCTTCATTCATGGTTAAGTTTCTAAAACATACAGGTTGGAAGTGAAAGAGGCTGTCATGGCAATGACTATATCGGGGCGATGGGCAAGTTTGATTTGAACCATAGTTTGAGGGTATGACAAACTCCACATTCTAGATTGACGCTTCTCACACTTTAGCATTCATAAAACCACCTGGAGAGCTTGTTAAAAATACAGATTCCTGGACCTGATGCTTGAAGACTCTGATTCAGGGGATCTGGGATGAAACCAGAGACGGCATTTCTAACCTAGTCCTGGTTGATGCTGGTGCTGCTGGTCCACAGTCCATAGTTCGGGTACAACTGTTCTAGGTGAATCCTGTGTAGGATTGCAGCTACTAGGACAGGTCTAACCAGTCCCAGACCCTTCATCTACCAGGACAGGTGGCTAACGCCCCCGAGGAACTCTCCCATCTCAGGAACTGCCAAGCCAAACTGCCCCACTTTCCATTCATTCTGAGAGAGTGAATGGCTCCGGGAGTAATCTCCCTGTCTCAGAACACTCTTATGACCACACATAAATTTACTTTAAAATAAGCAAGGCGTGAACATATCAGAATCCACTTAACATGAAGACTGACAGATTTCAGAATAATGTCCTTGTACTACAAATACCCCCACCCCAGGATGGATTGCAGAGGGCTTAGAAAAGAAAGCCTAGATGGATATCCACATCTGTGAGTGAGACAGAGAGACAGGCTCAGTCACTCTATCCTCCTCATAGCCTTTCCCTGTTCTTCGGGAAAGGGGCAGTGAACAACGGATCTGTGAAAAGAGACCTTTTGACTCTTTCCACATACTAAGCTCCTGAATCAGGCTGGTGTGCTTCAGACATAGCAACACTCTTTAAGGCGGAACATCTGGACAGGGCAAGAAAGGGATTGGCCACATGGACTGGTGGCCAGCTCCAGATGTCTCAAAGGAATAAAGACATTCCCTTGTACAACATCAGAACCATCTGAGCATGCTACAAAATGTGTTTAATTTTGAATCTGAATATAGATTAAAATGTCCATGATTTAAGTCAACAGCAGGAAGACCTGACACTGAGGGACTATGACAATAAAAATTCCTAAGGACACTGACTTGGAGGAGACATTTGCAGTAAATTACAACCATGTTAGGAACATCAGGCTCATAGTTAGTGGAGCATTTGGCTGTGGGTTGTATTACTTTAGCTAAATACTAATATGCATATCTAAGTTCATTCACTCTCCAGATCAGCACGGTATTGTAACAGCCTAATAGAGCATTAGCCTAATTTGATACGCAAGTATTAACATGAAAGGGGATGCCTTTCATGACAAGGTATTATTTCTATAGTAATTTAATATTTTATTGGTCTGAGACAATCCAGTGCCAATTTGCTTCCCTCCCCAAATACAGCCTAATAAACATGGGCTTCTTTGTTGTAGCTGTGGTTTAAGGACAGCCACAGTACGGACAGAGCATGAAGTTTTATTCCCCTGCTCCCCACATCAAACCTCTGTGTCTTCCTCACCACCAGAGGCCCATTGGCACTGTTGATGGTCTGTTTGCATACTTTTCTTTCTTGCCCAAGGGAAGTCAGATGGGATGTTTAAGATCCTCCCCAACTTCCAGATTCTAGGATTGAAAACAGAGCAATAATGTGCCTGCTGTATCCTAAGGCAGGAGATGACTTCACCTTTCCAGACTCCCTGGAATCCCCATGGAGCTGGGCTTGCATCTTATTTAAATGGAAAAGTACAGCCATGACTAAAAAGGAAAATGTCGGTCAGGGTCATGTTGGTGCCAAGGCGCTAGGAAAAAGATAAAGGTCACCATATTTTTCTCAGAACAGAAGCCTGCTGACCTGTTCCCCCAGAGCAAGATCCCTTGCCCTCCTGCCCCCTACTGAAGCACAGTGTGGGTCTGGGACTGACAGAGAGACCCTGCTGGCCTGGAACACAAGAGATGGCTGCCACTGCTGCCCTAGCTTCCCCTCCCACAGGGGCATGTACCCAACCTCCTCTTTCTAGAGCGTCTGACCCTGACCTTGGTCAAGCCCTCCTTACCTCTTGCAGTAGACTTTAAATTGAATTTCCTTGTCTCCAGGGTTTCTCCTGCTAATCCAGCTTCCACCCCGCTGCACAATAATCATTTAATAGAACAGTTCTGAGTAGAACACTCCTCTGCTTCAAAGATTTCCATGGCTCCCCATTGCCTAGAGAATAAAATTCAAATTCTTGTAGTTCTTAAGGTCCTGGCTACGTTTGCAGCTCCCTCTTCCACCTCCATTGTCCCTCCAAGACTTCACTGTTTTCTTCTGCTGCTCCAGCAAATTCAGGGCTCCAAATGTACCATGACCTTCTCCATCTCAGGGCCTTTGCTCATCTGGGTTCCTGCTGCAGGGAATTCTGTCCCTTGTGCCTTTTGGACCACTATTCAACCTTTAAAGCCAAGTTCTGATTCCCTCCTTTCCAGAACATTTTCCCCATGCTCCCTTAGTCCATTTTTGTTACTATAACAGAATATGTAAGATTGTGTAATTTCTAAAGAAAAGAGGCTTATTTCATTCATGGTTCTGGAGTTTGGGAAGTCCAAGATCTGGCAGCCCATCTGGTGAGGGCCTCAAGCTGCTTCAACTCATGGCAGAAAGCAGAAGAAAGGAGAAGCTCTGTCTCTCATGAGAACAAATCGATTCCCAGGAAAACTAACCCAGCCTCTCAAGAAATCCATCTTAAAAACCTAATCACCGGCTGGGCTCGGTGGTTCATGCCTGTAATTCCAGTACTTTGGGAGGTCGAGGTGGGCGGATCACGAGGTCAAGAGATTGAGAACATCCTGGCCAACATGGTGAAACCCTGTCTCTACTAAAAATACAAAAATTAGCCAGGCGTGGTGGCATGCGCCTGTAGTCCCAGCTACTTGGGAGGCTGAGGCCGGAGAATCGCTTGAACCCGGGAGGCAGAGGTTGCAGTGAGCCGAGATTGCACCACTGCACTCCAGCCTGGAGACAGAGAGAGACTCTGTCTCAAAAAAACAAAAAAACAAAAACAAAAACCAAAACAAAACAAAAAAAAACCTAATCACCTCTTAAAGGTACCACCTCCCAACAGCACTACATTGGCCATTAAATTTCGACATGAGTTTTGGCAGGGACAAACCACATCCAAACCTACTTAGAATTAGTCACTTTTGGACCCCTATATTTGGTCTTCTAGTCTATTTAGTTACGTGCTTATTGGCCTCCCCAGTAGACTCAGCAGTCTTAAAGAAAGGGCTTGGTCTGGGCCACTAATTTTCTATAATCTGCAATCTTTGATATCCTTATATCTTTGAAAAAGTATCTATTATTTCTAAATGAAAATTCTGCCTATGTAGACTCATAGGACGTGTGAGTCAGAGGGATGTTATCAACTATTGGTGAGGGCAAGTCATTGCATCCGGGCCTATATCCCGCTCTGTAGCTAAGGCAGACAGTGATCATCAATCATGGTGCTCTTTCCAATGACCCCAGATGCAACTTTCTGATCCTTCCCACCCAGTGCTCCTAGCAGCAACCATTAATCAATCAGAGTTGATATTTACTTGCCATCCCCTATCTAGTTTCTTAGCCCTTATTTTCCAATTTCCTTCCCCTTCTCCTTTATGGCTGGTATTGCACAGAAGTCTTACTGGAAGCCCTAAAGGAAGTTCATGCTATAAAAGTTGAAATTTTCTATTCTTTTAATAGCCTCCAGCAATGAGGTAGGTCAGAGTTTGGGCAGAAATCTGAGATGTTCTTCTCTTGGGAAGATTCACCCAGCTCTCCTTTAACTCAAAAGAAACTCAGTGCAAAGTCTAGTTCAGCCAATTAGCTACACTGGTTGGTTAAAGCTAAAAGAAGACGATCAGCGTTCATGTTTAACTTTATAATATTGATCTAGAACCCATAAATGCCACCTCAGCTGTTCAACACTGAAGAACAGGCAACAGAGTTTTCTCCTTTGAAATGAAACTACTATATTTCTAATAAAGAAAGGAGCCACATTTAGGCGAATTTTACAAAAACATTTCTTATCTTTTTCAACAAGTCTCTCTCCATTTGAGGAAAAGCCCGGTGATATTAAAGAACCCACTGACACCTCCGCAGATGTGTTCACCCACCTAAGGTAGGGCCAACAACAGGACTGGATACACTCACTGGCCTGTGGCCTCTGAAATTCATCCTGACGCCAAACTCTTTTTAGGCAACAACATGACAAGATCAAGGCCCAAAACAGACATTCCCCTCAAGTAGGGGTTTTAATTACTTCCTGTGGTACCAGAATAGAAAATTGTAGAGAATTCTTTCCCTTTACTTCAGTAAACTCAGCAACAATGAATTCAAACTAAAGGGAATCACATTTTGACTGTACTCGGTGGATACACTTCCACATTTATATTTACTGACACCCATTCAGAGCCAGATGTGGTTGTCTATCCTGGTGTTATAGCAGTGATTTACCTTGGAGAAAGCCTGGTCCATGGAGAACTTCCATCCGCTATACAAATGCATGCTGCAAATGACATTCACATTCATGATTTCCAGAAAAGGACAAAGAAGTACGACTTATGCTGTGCAAGCAAACAAAACAATAACACTGGTCAAACATTATTTCCCATTGATGTGAGTATTGGACTTCCTCTACATGTGCCCCAGCTTAGCTCCTCCCCTCGTCCCTTCCCTTGATAACTCCTGTCCACCTGTAAGAGTTCCTGCACTTACTGCCATGTTCGAGTGTCCCCCTCTGTTACCTTCTGCCTCCCAAACTTGATGAGTGAGCCCTCTCCATCTCTGTACTGCCCTCTTATTTTCAAACTCCCCTGCAACACTAATAATGCATAGGAAGATTTCCAGATTAAAATTATTATTGTCAGAACATGTTATACTGGGCCTCATATTCCTTTTCTATCAAATGTCCTTCAAACTGTACCTGTCCTATTGATTATTGTTACTTCTCTCACCAATATATTGCTGGAACATTACAATTGTTGAAGAAATGCTTATTGAGGGAATGTGTTTAATGAAGCTGTTAATATTTAGAGAAACCTTTCTTTAAAATAAGAAAAATGGCTGAGTTGAAAATCACTGAACTATCACTCAATTCCATTTTCCTGTTAAAGATGGACAGACAGCACAACAGACACACACACACACACACACCATGGAAATAGTTCTTTCCATGAAGTTTCTTTAGAACTTTACTGTATGAATCTCATTCTATTGACTGTGGTCAGAATTATGTTTTCATCTTATGCAATTTATCTAGTCTTCTGTACCAGGCTGTGTATTCTTCATGGGCAAGGACTGGGTATTTCATTTCACCCACAGCACCCTCTAAGTAGAATTACCATGTGTCTTCTTGCTACAGAATTTTCTCTCTTTTCTCTTTCTCTCTCTCTCTGGATCTCATTTAAAAACACACACACACACACACACACAACAAATAAAACGTGAGCCTTCCATACTTTGGCTGGGTTAGTTGACTATGTGGTGCCAAGGAAATGGCTTGGTGGTTTTTTAGTTTGGTTTGTCCTTTGTTCTCTGAATTTAGCATCATGCGAAGACAGAGTATAGCCTAAAGGTGTATTTAAAATGTCGTCCTGTTTCTGAGCTTACTCAGACAGGCAATAGAAAATGGCATTCTTGATAATTAATGCCCTTACAGAAATTCAGCACAGGCTAGCAACTGTAAACAATACGTTATTAGTCAGGGGAGGTGCTTGCAACATGAGCACGGAAATTCCCATGGATCTTCATAGGGCATCAAAGGGAAGATTCAAGATGCTCTGGATAATTTCGTTACTGTGTTTGCTTGATCATTTTATACTTAAGCAGACTGTTCATTACCATCATCTCAACCTCTTTTGCTAGCTTAAATTCCTCTTAATTCATTTATAAAACAAAATTAGAACGTTGACTGCAACCTATAAAATAAGTCCACATCTTTGTTTAATTATAGTTGCTATATACACTATTTTAGCATTACTGAAGGTATATAAAGAAGGAATAAAGGAAGATTAGTATTCTGTTAAAATGCCAGCTAAAAACAAACAATTTTTTAAATGTACATTTATATCATGGCAAGAGACTGTGTTTAAAATCCCCAAACTCCTGAAGCTGTTTGAGAATTATGCCAGTGCACTGCAGAAAAAAAAAAAAAAGACAAAACTGGTTGAACATAAGACATGAGTAGTTGAAATATGGTTTAATTTTTTTCCTTCTGATTCTTTTTCCCTCCTTTGGAAACTGATAAAAGATTTTGTATTTTTTTTTTAAATCGACCTCATTTTTAGTTTATTTTCTAAAAGTGGAGATGTCTTTACATATGTTCAAAAGTATGTCTGTCAAACCTTTGGAGGACTTCTCAGAATGAAGAAATCTACAATGCATATCTTACCAAATTGTTTGGGGATTTTCCACTTTTATGTGTTTGGGCATTTTTCCCTCTTAAACATCAAAACCTAATAATCGTGGCAGAAGGTTAAATATTTTCCATACTTTGTTTTTGAAATTTGTTCCTTTCAAAGAACGAACATATGGGGGAAAGAAATCTACACACCCAATCTATTATGATGGCTACCTCTGGGGTTAGGGAGTAGAACCACAAAGTGGGGGCAATGAGGGGGCTCTCACTTCTTTCACCATTTTATTTACAATGAAAATGTATCCATGTGCCACTTGTACAATGTTCATAGTTACTTAAAGAAAAAAATCATATTTAGAGAAAAAAATATCGATTTGGATAACGGTAAATGTTTTATAGTATCCCAAGTGTGAAGATTACACATAGGATTGCAAAGAGGAAGAAATAGGGAGGAATTCCTGTTTGCTTGGCTGGTAGTAGCCACTCTTTAAAGCATTTCTGTACAGAAAGAGAAATAAAAGAATTGGTACTTTGATTAGTTACATCAAGATTACATTGAATTCATTTTCTCTAATGCCAGTTTGCTTTAACTTAATATCCCTTAAAAAAATCCATGCCCTCATGACATCATCAGTTCATGCACTATTTCTTGCGGCATTAAAAGAGAAACTTAAAGTTTACATGTAACAACCGAATTCAATAGAGTACCTTATTTAAATTTCTAAATCTCTTAGGGGCTAGGAATGAAATATAATGCTAATCTAATTTAGTAATTTGTTCTCTTTCCACCAAAACGCACAATCATTGCTTGTGAAAGCCTCAATCCCATCCCCATCCCCAACTTTCTTTTTCCATAAGGCTGGGATGGAATTGTAGGCTGATTTGGAGCACAAAGTCCAGTTGCACCCCAGACTCCCGTCCCTAAACATCCAGTGCCATGGGATGTTTCATGACCACAGCATGTCCATCATGTTACTCTCCAAATGCAGGGATGAGGGTTGAATGGAGTGGAGCTTTTTAGTCTTCAAGGATTTAAAACTATGTACACACAATGCAAGCAGCTGGCAGGAGTCCTTTGTAAGTGTGTGTGTGTGTGTGTGCGTGCGCGCGCGCGTGTGTGTGCTGGAGAAAGAGTTGGATCAAATGAGTGGTTTCCTGTTCAGAGCAGGACATAAGTTTCCTTCCATGAAAGGAGATATAATTAATTCCACTTCCATCAGCACATCAAGAGGATGATGGGTAACTCAGCTCCTACCAGCTCTGGCTGCAAGGGAGATGTAGCCCAAGGGAAGTGACCCTTTATTGGGCCTGGGCTGGTCTCTGGCTGGCCAGGGAAAGCACACACCTCCACAATCCCAGACCCCTCCAGGTCCCCCTGGAGCCTGTCAATGTTTGAGTTCTGTCCTTTTTCCACTCTTGGGAGGACAACAATGTGTCTCCAGGTCCTGCAGTCTGGGTTTGATTAAATAATTATAAACTCCCAGCAGCAGGTCCATCATTTATGTCCTGAAACATGCCAGCATGTGTCTTTTGTGGCCATGCCAGCCAATCATAAAGCCACTCTCCTTATTGTTACTGAGAACACAGTGGTTCAATGTTTGTGCTTGTTCCTGGATTTTGGCTACAGAATGTTGCCCAGCAGTTTGCTGCTGGTGCCAGCATCACTACAGAACTTCATAATAAATCCTTTCTATATTTATTCAGTCCACTGGTCTGACACTGAAATTGCCTTTTATGAGCATATGATCAGAGGCTTCCATTTTCCACTTCTAACTCTGGGCGATTATATATTCTAACAGAAAAGACCTCAAGGCCTGTCGTCCATACATGCAACATGGCATGGGGACTGCCGACTGGCTGGGGGAAAGTAGGAGATTGGAAGTGAGTGAGAGTTGACCTTTTACCCCAGGCAAAGGAAGCACAGAGGTGATCTCTTTAATCCATTTGGTTAGAATATTTAAAATTTTCCACTTCCTCCACAACTAAAGCCCAAAATAAAGTTGCCAAAGCAAGGCAGTAATATTTCATAGTAACATGCCATCTCCTACAAAAGGGCAAGGGGAGAAGGAGGAGATAGGAATACCATTTAAGAGTTCAAGGAACTTTTAAAGAAATGTTTTTCATTCTTGCCTTAATTGAGTCACAAGTGATCTCTAAATGGCCCCAATGTTAAATATATCATATCAACCAAAACTAGGAAAGCGACTGAAATACCTGAATGGGAAGCCTTTTTCTATTTTTTGTGTACATGAAAAATCTCACAATAATTCAAATGGCCAGAATGACCTTCTGCTGATGACAATTTACGAAGAGGTCTCTAGAAATTATGATGTATAAAAATTTAGCAATGAAACACAGCTATGTTTTGGAAAGAGAAAGATGTGTTCTCTTTTCTTTGGCATAGTTCTGTCCAGGTTCAGAAAAATATGAGTATACATGGCCTATGTGCGTTTTCATTTTTGAAAAATGATCAAAACCACTCATTTATTGAAGGGAATACAATACGCAAAACGAGATAACAAAGTTTAGTGAAAATAAGCTGCGTAAACTGGAGGAAGAGTACTAGAATAACAAAATAAAACCCAGCAGTCGCTCATTTTTCATTACTATCTTTTGTTTGTGTTTACATTTCCTGAAATGCCATGGCATCATATCAGTCTGCAGATGAAATGTGAATCTCAAAAGAAGAGTTACTTTATACAAAGGTGGAATCAGTTGAAGGTTGCGTGTTTTGTTTTTACTGCATCCTTTAAAAGGATCATTAAAATGTTTCCACTCAATGCAGAAAACAATAATTATCCTTACAGGAAAGACTTTAGATATTACATTTCATTTTCAAGAAAATGGGTTTTAGAATAAATATTAATTAAATATATTTAAAATGTATACAGTTTGACATTATTTTTCAAAGTAAAAATATCTTATATTTTTAAAAACTGTAAGTTGAGTTTTTGTTGCTTTGTTTTTAAGATTTGAGAACTAACTTCTTTCAGTATTATAATTCCTGGTGACATCACATTTGCCCCAACAGTATTTAAATTGTACATGTATTTTTGAAAATGAAGCCAGTTATTGTTTTAAATAAACATATATTCAAATAAATTATTTTCAAATGTATCAACTTAAAGCTATACTACTATTCTAGTGAGACTAACTTAAGTTGGAGAAAAGTTATTAATAAAGACATTTCAGTATGAAATATATAGTAATATACTGTGCCTACACATTTCTTTGGGTGAATATTACTGGGGAAAATAGTTAGAAAAAAGAAAAAGTTTAAAATAGACCAAGTAGTCAAGAAGATAGACAGAGAAATGCAGTTTTGCCCTCCTTTAGCTTTATATAGGAACTACTTATGCTTGTAAACATGAGAAAGACGAAGAATTCTTAGACTAAATGTTTCAAAGGTAGAACTTTTTAGACATTTGTGAGAAAAGCTTGTTTCTTTTTTAAAAAAAGTGCTTTTAACAAATACTGCTTAAACAGAAATGCAGCCGTGTACAGGACTGTTTTTAGTTAAAAATTTTCAATGTGCCAACCAAAAAGCGATGTAATCGGTAACTCACCACTAGGGGGCCTTCCTATTGGTCCATTCTTATAAGGACAGTAATTAATAATAAATAAACTGCAAAGATGTACTCCAATATTTTCTATCACACACATAGAAATAGCTGATTAGGAAGTGACAAGAGTCTGGTTATTCTGTCATTTGGTTATTTAGATCGTATAAAAGTACTGATTAACTTTTTGCTTCTTCACTAAAACAGACTTTAAGAAAAATCAGCTGCGTTATTTTGGGGATTTTTAGTTCAATAATGGTTGTTTTATCTGCTTCTCACAATCTTCTTTTGTTTTATTGATTTTCCCCAGAGATGAAAATAGGGAACTTAATTTAATCCAACCAGTACATTGATTCAGTCTGTTTACTCAGATTAACCTAAACAGATATGCCAGCTTGTCAGAGCCTATGTTCGTCATCTCTTTTGACAACTCTCCAAACTGTGGTCGTGTTGAGAGCCAGTGGCGCCATGGAGTAGTTTTCAATCAGCAAACCTTCGTTGAGCATTTACTATGTACCGGATGCTGTGCTTGGTGCTGGGCTACAGGTGGAAACCAAGTTGGTGTCATGGTCCTCACAGACACAGCAAGGAACAAGGTGAGAAAGGAAAGGGGTTTTGAGGAGATTCCATTTGGACAGAATCCTGAATGGTACAAGGGAGAAAGCCATGGCAGTGTGATAGTCCAGAAGGGGGGATTTGGGATTTACTATTAGGAGGTCTGGGGTCAGGTCCTGTCTCCTTTACTCACCAGCTGATTATGAACTTGGACGCTTTGTGTCCAAGTGACACTTGGTGGACACTCTCTGACTTTGCTGTCTCACCAGGAGTGTTAACAGTTCTGGCTCTATTCCCTGCAACTGTGCCTGCACCTCCTCCCTCACCAGATTTTGGGAGGATCAAATGAAGTGAGTGATTTGAGATTACAAATGATTTTTATTGAGTGAATTTTTATTGAGTGAATTGAGAACTTTGATAAACAGGATGCCTTCTTGTCTCCAAGTTTTAAAATATTTAATAATCAATAGCACGAAAAATGTTCCAATGCATTAAGTTAAAATTGTTTTTGAAAAATATCATTTTTAATGTGAATACATACATGCATAAGAGGGTTAGCAAAAACATAATCCAAGATAATTATTTCTGGTTAAATTATGAATATTTTCATTTTTTCCTTTTTGCTTTTTGTACTTTCTGATTTTCTGCAGTGGCCATGAAATGTTTCACAATAAAATAATATTATACTAATTAAACAAAATCATAAAGAAAAAAGATATTGATAGAGTGAGTGGAAAAATTCCAGTTTCAACCAAGACAAAATTTCTCTTTGTAGATGTTTTGTTAAATATTCATGTGGAGAGATTTTCATCAAAATCTTTAGATAATTTTCAAATCCCCACAAAAACCATTAACATCAAATGTTTTAAAACTTAAGTTGAATTTTCCTTTTGTAGTCTAAATCCCTTTCACCTGCTTATTAAATTCCAAAAAGGAAATGTATTTCAAAAATGAAAATTATTTTTCAATGTAAATACACATCTACATTAACTTCTGTTTAAACGTGTTCCTTTAAGATTTGTTTTTAAAATAAGTGATTCCTTCAAATGCCACTACTTTTGCATTTGCTGTGCATTAGGGTGACTTCTGCTAATTTATACCACCTTTCAGAGTACATTAGAACAAGATGCATTTGAAAAATGCCCCAACATTATTCTTTCCACGGCACTCTGATTTTATGCATTTCCACCTTGCTTTCATAAACTATGTAACATTGACCTATCTACTTATTTTTTTCTGAATTCTCTTGGTGATAAGAAATTTGTTATACCTCCTTTTTTCGTTTTGCTTACTTTTAGAAACACAAGTCCTGAATTAATAAATTTTGGTTGTTAAAAACACAAAGGTCAGATGAAGTTCCAAGTCCATCCTCTCCTAGAGGCTGCCGTCAGTGCGTTGGATAGCGTTCCTGTTGTTGCTGCTTTTCTAATACATCTGCATCCAGAGATACAGACCTAAAGGAACAAATAGTTTGGCGTTACTTCTCTTTTAAACAACATAATCCGAATCATATGATGAAAGTATTGTTCCATACTTTCTTTTCCTCCAGATCTCTTAGAGATCTATCTGCATCAGGATGCATAGATCTACATCGTTTAAAAATAATCTATTTCAAACATGTATCCTCAGCCCTCTTTGGATGCTTAAGGTTTGTAAGGAACTTAACTATTAAGTGATCCAAATGTGTGATTTCAAGTCAGTTCAGGATATGCTAGACCCCTACTTTAAGCCTAGCACTGTGGATCCTGAGAGGAATGAGGTTATTACCCCTGCTCTGGAAGAGAATGTCAGATATTTCTTGAAAGGGGGAAGGAGGTAATAAATTCAAGGACTATTCACTCTTCTGCTGTATCATACACTTAATGTTTTAGATATAAGCTGTTCCACTTTAAGAACAAAATAATTTAAACTCTAGGCACCAAGATCTAGAAGCTAGAAGGAACCCCGGAAAGTCATCTCTTTGTCTGTCTTCTACCTTTAGACATTTAACTCAGGATGGAAAATTGAGTTGCAGGGAAAATGAACACTCAATTGAAACTGCGTACATGCCCAGAAAGAATCTGATGCTGCCTCAGAATCTGTTATTCTGATGTAGCTATTTCGTTCCTCGGCGTGTGTTTGGTATCTTGAATTTTCTTTATTATTTAACTAAGGAGTTGTCGCCTCATGTTTTCAAATAAAAGGCTTGATTGGTTTACTAACCTGTAACAGGGAGGTGGACAGCGAGTTTGTGGAAATATCTGTTAAGGGGTAGAAGCTTTTTCATTGAGAGGCCAGGCAGGGCAGATGTTTGCACAGTTCTGAGACCGGCCTTATCAGTGATGCCGCTAAATACTGCTACAGTTTTAGGGATGGTGAAGAGGAACCCCCACTCATTCCTTTGTACCCATCTTCCCTTCATACAGGTGCTCACATTTCTCTGAACTCTATGCTTGAGTTTCTAAGATTGCCAAAAAGGGTCAAACTGTGGGGGTATGTTTGGTGTTCTAAACTGGTTTGGTAGGAATGGGATAGGATACACGTAGGATTCCAGCTGAGGCAGAAGATGCAGAGCAGAGTTAAACTCTCCCAGACATTGAAAACCAGCCTGTAAGAAGCAGGCAGTCTTCTCTGTGCAGTTACAGCTCTACCGGCCCTAGGTCCCAGCAGACAGGCAAGAGCCTGCACTGCAAGGTACAAGCCGGGTCGATCTATCAGAATCCTTATCCTGTCTCCAACAAACACTGAGCTGTCACGGAACAATTGTTGGAATGTGAGGAGAAAGAGTTTTCTCTCTGAGACAAGGAAGGCAATTTTAAAAATAGATTGAACTATCAGAGATATAGAGAAATAATTTTTGATAATGCAACGTTTGACTGAAAACACCCAAAGTACGTAAGCTTAAGCAGGACATTTGTGTCTTAAATAAGTTTATTTTAAATACAAGAAAATGAGTTTTAAAAAATCACAAGATATATCAGAAACTAATGATTAACATCACAGAAAGATCTGCCCTGGCTAGCTTTACCATACAATATCCCAATGATGCACTTATATATTTATTTATTTATTCTTAAAACATGCTCTTTTTTGGTTGTTTTTAGGAAACAAATTGTTTTTGGATTCTTGAATCATAAAATATTAGAGCTTCACGTTCACGTCGCTGAGTTCTCCCAGGTAATGTCACAGGCATGTGAAAAGACATCTTAATAGTACTAGGAATTTTAAATGGTTTGTTAAAACGCACATCAACTAATAAAAATAAGACAGAATCCATCTATGACTGAGAAAATTGTCTGTAAATTCAACTTGTTTTCTTTTGTTTTAATTTGGACTTTTTAATATGCAATCAATATTTTAGGTCAATGCAATTCGATTTGTAGGCATAGGTGTATTTTCCTCCTATAACACAGACATAGGAAATACTAATAAAAACATGCCGTGGAGCTTGTCAAGGTGATCTTCTTTATGATGGCCCTGATTTCTGAGTGCAGAAACCACATAGATATATTCCTAGCCTCTAGACAAAGTATACATTACATGTCTTGTCAAAATCAAATACTCTGATCTAGTAACAGCAGTATTTTTCATTTTAATTGACAAAGAGATGGTATTTATTAATAATTTTATGCAAATAGAGTGTCACTGAAATTTTACTCCAGTGAAAAAACAATTCTCTGAGTCAGAAAACTTATACCAAAATAATGTCAGATAACTTTGTTGGAAACTATGGCCATTCTTTGTGATATTACTGTGGTTTGAATGTGTCCCCCAAAATTTGTGTGTTGGAAACTTAATCCCTAATGTAACCATGCTGAGAGATGAGACCGTTAAGAGGTGATCAAGTCATGAGGGCTCTGCCCTTGTGAATAAATTAATGTCATTATTATGGGAGTGGGTTACTTATTGTGGAAGTAAGCTCCTGATCAAAGATGAGTTTGGCCCCTTCTCTCTCACCCTGTCTTTGCCCATCTGCCATGGGATGACACAGCAAGAAGGCCCTCATCAGATAAGGCCCCTTGATCTTGGACTTCTCAGCCTCCAGAAGCATGAGCCAAGTACATTTATTTTCTTTATAAATTACCCAGTCTCAGATATGCTGTTATAGCAGCAGATTAAGACAGACATCAACAAAAAAATCAAAGTTATACAAAAATGCCAGTTTGACTTTTTTAACGTCTCTTGTTTTCTATGTAATGTACCATGAATTTGTTATTTATAAAATACGTTCTTGAAGCAATTTAGAGATTAATTCAAAGCAATTGAGAATTTAATCCATCTCACTTTTAGGGGAGGTAAGATTAGATTAATTTACTCCACGAAATTAAATAAAGAGCTCCTTTCATTTGGGCTCAGTTTATCTCCCTCCAGTTCCCAGTTGTGCAATCTGGAGTTTGTGAGGCAGGGTGGACATACCTTTGCTTGCATCAGCCACCTACTTCATGAGCTGCAGGTGCCCCTCAGAGCCTTGGCTTCCCGCACTTGAGTTTCAGCCCTCTGGGGCTTCATATGTTGCAGAGAATGCCTGAGGAACCCCGTCTTGCAAAAGTAGACTGAAGACCACATGTGTTGAACCATAGCCCATGCCAAGCTGCCCTTGAGGGAGAGGGCCTAATGCAGGACTTTGAAGGCAGGATAGAAGAAAGAGTCTGGGAAATGCTTTGGAAAATGGCAAAGCAATCCAAAAAGATTTTAGTTTTATGTCTGTTTAGGGAAGACCAGATATCGGACAGGATGTAATGTGACATTTAGATTTAATTCTGTTGATGATTTGCAGATTTGGAAATATACTTCCTAGATTGTCCAGTGTCCTTGGGAGCTGGATCTACCCAGGAGTGGTAGTTGCTAAGAAGAAATGAACCATGAAAAAAATTTACTGTGCTTTCACAGTCTGGAGCGCAAGAAAAACATAGTGACAAGGTGTGCTAGACTGCCTCTCATCCACAGCAGAAAAACAGACCAACCTGGATTTCCACTTTATATCTACCACTGAGGAACTGTGTGACGTTGGGCAAGTGAACTAACCTCTCTGGTCCTGTTTTCTCATTAGCAAAAAGGTGCTAATATTAATAATATTAGCTATATTCATGAAGATTTAATTCAAGCCAGGGATTATTCTAGAAAGATGTATTAACTTAGTCATCACAGCAATTTTTGAGTTTAGAATCACTATTAACTTCTCGTCCAGTTGAAGAAACAAAGGTTTGGTGGGTTTTTTGGTTTTGTTTTGTTTTGGTTTGGTTTGGTTTGGTTTTTGAGATGGAGTCTCGCTCTGTCACCCGGGTGGGAGTGCAGTGGCACAATCTAGGCTCACTGCAACCTCTGCCTCCTGGGATCAAGCTATTCTTGTGCCTCAGCCTCCCAAGTAGCTGAGACTTCAGGTGCATGCCACCACACCCAGCTAATTTTTGTATTTTAGTCAAGAGACAGGGTTTCACCATGTTGACCAGGCAGGTCTTGAACTCCTGACCTCAAGCGATCCACTCACCTTGGCCTCTCAGAGTGCTGGGATTACAGGCGTGAGCCACCATGCCCAGCCAAGCTGAGGAAACTAAGGTTTGAATGAGTTAAGTAAGCAGCCCCAGCTCATGTAGCTAGAAATGCAGAGTCAAATGTCTAGATCCAAGGAATGTGTTCTGACCCACAATACCATGAGAGACAGGCTAACATCAGCTGAGACCAGGGACTGTGAGCTGGACTGGATCCCCAAAAGCTTCCATCACTTGCAGACTGCAAACGTGCCAAGCAACAGAGCTTCTCTGTGCTTGTCCCACATGTAAAATCAGAGATAATAATGGAATCTGCCTCATGGTGCTTCTGTGAGGATCAAATGGTAATATTTGTTAACTCAGAACAGCGCTTGGTAAGAATTAGGTAACTATTTAAGAGTGCTCTTAGTATTGTGTTAGAACTTATACTCTGCAATGATATGGATTGAAGCAAAATTTAATTAATACATATAAATTACTTACCTCTACATAGTAACTACCCAACAAATAATTCCTTCTAGGAGATTTTGTGCTAAGTATGAGGCATGGTTTAGGTCCTAGTGAGGTGCAGATCACAGGGCCCAGGGCCACCTACTGTGGAGCTCACAGTCTAATGGAAAGAAAAGAACAGTTTTAGTTTTCTTTTCTCCAGGGGATCAGAAAGTTCTGTCTTTAAGCAGGCAGATTTCTCACCTGCCTGTAATAATACTCATGCGATAGGATAAATGGATTAAGGAGTATTCCCAGGCTCATCTTTTCTCCCCTAGCCTAGTAGAGAGAATCCTACGGGTACAGCCTCCATTTCTACCTCTTAGCCACCATCGGTAGGATGACTGAATCTGACATAAAGGGTGGGAGAAACTGAGTCAATCTCCACAATAAGACATCAAGTGAAAAAGGAGGGAGGAAAGCAAAGTGCCATCTTCAGAACACAGCAAGGGCATGCAAACATGTGCATGTAGGGTGTGTATGTTGGGTATACATGCATGTGTGTGTTTTGTGAGTGTGTGCTGTGTGTGTGAGTGTATGTGTTGGGGGCTGGGGTGGTTCCAGTGTAACTTCAGGGTTTAGGGAAGGTCTAAGACAAGAAATGAGATGGAAGTAAGTATTGCAAGGATCTGTATCTTCTTTCTTATTGCCAAAATACAGGAGTAAAAGAACTCTATTCCTCTATTATTACTTTTGGCTCACTGATTGTGTTTGTGTAAATAATGCTCCTTGGAGACCAGACAACCATGTGGTTTTATGGGGTATGGAACACCTATTTGCCAGGAGCCTTCCCGGCCCATTTGTTCAAGAGAGACTGTCAAGTTCTGTCTGTCCTTGATCATGACCCTAAAGCAAATAAGATTTCAAGGTTGTTTCAGTCTTGGAGAGCCCAACCACACGATTACTTGGGCATCAGTGGTTCTTTGTCTAGTCTCGGAGCCTTCAATGCAGAATGTGTAGGTATGCATCATTTTCCAATCTTAGACCACCATGGCCTCTCTAACATTGGCAAGAACTATTGCAATCACAGGGGACAGATTCCATAAACACTAACGTACGGCAGTTTTCCAAACTTCCCTGATGGTGAAAACATTGATTCCTGGGATCAATCTAGCGATACTGAAGCAGAAATTCTAGAGGAAAGGTCCAGAAATCTGGATTTTTGACCAATATCACAAGCAACTTTTATCAGTAAAGTCTAGAACCATGGTGTGGATGTTTCCAGCATTGCCAAAACTGCCTACTCCATGAAGAAGAGGCCAGGTACCTTTCATGACAGGTGTACTAGCCACCTACGGTAACTAAAGTTGAGGATGAGAGATGAGGACCCATTTCCCCACACCCAACTTAGCAGCACCAAAGATCATTATCTTTAAGGGCACAATTAGTTCAGGTAGAGCAAAGCTACACTGTAGACACAGTTGTAGATGTCTGCTTGCCCTTCCTCACCTGCTCTTCTCACATTCCTCTCTGAGCCACTCACCTGCTGTCTCTGGGCTCACTACTCTTTTGAATTCCTGAGATCAACATCTTAAATATGATACCTTAAAGCCCCCAGACGAGCTCACCTCTAGATCTTCTGAGAGTAAATTTCTCAGTAGAATATATCAGTATCCTGGCAGCAGCTGGAGGATCAAAGTTAAATATCCTAAACTGTATAAGTGGAGATTCCCTGCCTAGGGCTTGGGACACCCCTTCAACTGACTGACTGTCAGGTATAGCTACCATGCCTTCCTTTGACCATCTAGAACAGTGTGACCTTGATTCAGAGGTTGCCATACAAGTTTTTACTGAGAACCTGTGAATCTTCTCAGAGTACTTTTAGTTGAAAAGTATTGTGGAAT